TCTATTGATTTTATAATGGTTTGACGATTCTGATTTGTATTCGGTTTGGAAAATGTATGATTTTGTTTATATTCCCGTAAAACATTGTAAATCGAAGCGCAACACACTCCAATTTTATCGGAAACTTTCGATACGACTTCGTCGACAGTCGATGTCTCAATTTCTTCCATCTCTTTCTTGAACACATTTAAAATCACTTATTTCATCTCAACACTCAAATGTCTTTTTTTGGATCGTTTCCTGACTGGACTCAGAGAATAGCTCACAGTGTCATCAGCAGTGTCTGTACTGGACATCTTGAAAAACAATATACTATAACGCACGCCACACAAACACGCAAACGACTGATTACAACCCTGTGCTGGTACCGAACTCGTACCAAGAAGGCGAATTCACCAATGAACACTGCCCTGACACTGGGCGATCACGTGAACATCACGCCTCGGTTTTGTTTTGTTTTACTCTATCTTGGATTTGGATAGACTTTAGTTTTGAATCTTCTTTGAATCTGAATGCTGACGTTTGGTTTTTCAGTGTTTCAAGAAGGAGATTAAATACTTTTGTTGCTAAATATTGATAGCATTTTTAGCCTATTGATTTCGAATCGAAAGGTACTAAATAATCATTTTTTGTCTCGTAGTATAGGTATGAGAAAGTTCAATAAGTTCGGTCTTATTGAAAAACTGAGTTGTAGCGATGTAGTAGAAGAATATTTGCCTGATATCAAAAAATCTCATACTTTTAATAGAGAGCATCACTCGTTAACGAAGTAAGTTGGACACACTTTTTTTCATGAAATATGAGAATTAATAACCACCTGAAATTAATGACATCATTCAAGTTATACCCTCTATAGTAACCATTATTTTCACAAGCTTTTCTGAAAAGTCACTTTTTTCCTATACCGCAGAGCGACTAAGGTAATGGTCTGTTTTTTGCATTTACACGATAGGGCTATCAAATGAAGGGGTTTGCTGAAAGTAATATGGCGGACTACAAAAGACTTCGAATCTGTCTCACTTTGAAATCTTCTCGCTTCGTGCTGTAACCATAGTGAGATAATTATTATACTATTTATTTCCAGATTCACAAGAGAACTGTCGTAGGCAATTGTAGCAAACATCCCAACCAGTTTCATGAAAAGGAATCCTTCGAACCTCCAACCTTTATGGTACTTTTTCTAACGCAAATTAGTTTTTACATTCTCATGTTCCTCGGCTATATCAGTCAAGAACTTTTTCCTCCCAAAAACACCAAAGAGAAAAACCGGGATGGCTACCAGCCCCTTTTCGATAATTTTTCCACTTTTTTCTCCAGATACGTTTACAGGCGGGTAAGGGATTGTTCAAACTATCCGATTTGTAGCGTGGCAGGTAACGAGGTGACACTGAAAGAACGCGTCACCAAGGATAGTGGATGGACATTCGAGTGAGTATACTTTTTATGATGTGGATCATTATTTTTTACCCACTTTTATTCAACCTTCAATATATTGTCCTAACTTTTTTCTTAAAAATAACGCTGACCGCCGCTAGTAACTTGGCTAAGGTCGAGCTCAACTCTACTTGCGTTTCTCGATCGTTAAAGATGTCGCGTCGCTTCGAAACATATCCAGAGACTTCCCTATCGGCATATAAACTCTAACAACAGGCAGACGGGAATTCTAGTTGAAAGCGTGGTACGAAGTGATCTAATAAGGCGATAGACATCTGAATATAAGTTTGAAGTTTCAGTTAAAGTGTTTGTTTGCTATATTGTCAGTGTAGCAGTGAAATAAAGTTGAGTTTACTTCATTAGCTCGGACTTCCATTGTCTAATATGATATAAA